CGCTTAACCGACTGCGCCACCCAGGCGCCCCTCAATCCTGTTTTTAAAAGACATGTTGTTAGCGTGACAGAAAGGAATAATAATACTTTCCTTGATACAATCTTTGGAAAGAAGTGAAATCTTACTGAACTTTGGAAAAGCAAGTCTCAACATGTGTGCAGGATCCTAAAACAAACATGAAATACAGTTTACAAGGAAGACGTGAGTACAGAAAAACTTGGGGGTAAACGTTTATTAAGTGAGGTATAACTGACATATAACACTATATTAATTTCAGGTATGTAAAATAATGATTTGATATTTGTATATATTGTGAAATGATCGCCATAAGTCTAGTTAACATCTATCATCATACATAGTATTTTTCCTGTGATGAGAACTTTTAAGATCTACTCTCTCAGCAATCTTCAAATATGCAATACAGTATTATTAACTGTAGTGATTATGCTGTACATTACATTCCCATGACTTATTTGATAACTGCAAGTTTGTACCCTTTGAGCCTCTTCACCCATTTCGACTGTCCCCTATCCACTACCTCTGGCAACCACCAATCTGTTCTCTTTAACTATGGCTTGGATTTTTTTTGGGGGGGGGGGGGGGGGGGCGCGGGGAGGTCTTAGATTGCATACATAAGTGACATAATTCAATATTTGTCTTTCTCTCACTTATTTCATTTTACATGAAATTTCATTTTGTATTTCATTTTGCCCTTGGGACAGTAAACGCTCTTTTTTTAAATTTGTTTTTAATGTCTATTTATTTTTGAGAGAGAGAGAGAGAGAGAGAGAGAGAGAAGGGGCAGAGAGAGAGGGAGACACAGAATCCAAAGCAGGCTCCAGGCTCTGAGCTGTCAGCACAGAGTCCGACACAGGGCTCAAACTCATGGACTACAAGATCATGACCTGAGCTGAAGTCTGATGCTTAACTGACTGAGCCACCCAGGCGCCCCAGGACAGTAAACACTCTTAATGTTTCCTTAGCAGTTATCTCTATTTGATATTTTATGCACTATTATTTTCTATCCCAATTAGAACTAGTGACTCAATAGAACACAACTGAAATGTTTAAGTGAATTCTTTAGATTTTCAATTCCTGAATGGAGAATTAAGCACAACAAAGAGGATTTACACCATTTATAAACTATTTCACACTATATTTATACTATTACATTTATACTATTTTATATTATCATACACTATTTACACTATTTATACACTATTTACATTTTTCATATATATTATATATACAAAACCTTTACACAATAACTCATGCAGTAGGCTTAGACATAAAAAAATTAAATGAATTAAAACTCTATTTTCAATATAAAACACCATAAAATCAGTCTGATTTAATCAATGGGGACAATTAAAATACTATTAAAAAAATTTCTCCCAATTTATAACAAATAACTTCTATGACAATTTAGATTTCAAAATGTTAGGTTCAACACAACTATTTAGAATCCCTCTAAAGCATCAATGGTATCTGGGCACTAAATGCATTCTATCATTAAAATATTTTTAAAAATTTACTGTACCTAGATCCCACTGCACCATCTCCAGAGTCTTGGCTTCCAGCTTCACTTGGTGTGCTCACAGATTTGGAGGATGGAGACATAGGAGGAGGGACTAAATAGTGAAATAGACAGGTATCCGCTGTTACTACACGGAGAGGTTGCTCAGCTTATGACGTTTCAAAAGTAATTTAACATGAAGTAATTAACAAAAAAGAAAAAATGGCAAACCAAAAAACAAAAATACATGAATGAAAATGAACAGTAGAAAGAAGAGGAAAAAGACAAAGTTAACAATGCATGCTGACGATTCATGCAATTTCTCTGGCAAAATGCATTTGGGCTTTATATTAAAAAAAAAAAGCAAGATTATGAAAGGATGCATCTTCATCCCAGCCAACACCAAATGTGGGCACTAATTTTCAAAGGAGAGCATTCCTTCTCCCCCAACTTCTCACTTTTAAGATCACCAGATTATAAATATTATTTATAATTGCTGTCAAAATCAAAACTCTGAAATATTCTTCAGAAGTCATTTGCTTTCTGATTTTCTGATATTTCAAAATGTTATTTTTTGTCTAACAACTTTTTATTTTAGGAATTAATGCCTTAAATGATTTCATTTCCCCCTCCCCCGCCCCAACAAGAAAAGGGGCCAATTTAGAGAAATGACTACAGCTAAAGGAATGGCTCCTTTAAAATGTCCATTAGTTTCCAGCAATTTGGGTGAAAAATGCAAACAGGCCATAAAATAGCATGCCTTCTAGACATGATGCATAACATAAAGTGATGCATGCAACTTAAACAAGGCAAGACTTATGATAACTTCCTTACCCCAGTATTCAGAAAAAACTGAAGTGTACAAACAAAGATACAGACACCCAAAATATTCTTAATCCCTTCTTATAGAAAAATACACATTTTTCATAGTATATAAAACAAACAGCAAATGCTTTCCCCTAAATCATCACTCTTAACATTATATACCAACAATTAAACGTGCACATTTCATGCTATTACGTTTGTAAAACATTTTGATTACCATTGCAGGAAGTATAGGAGGATCATCACTGCCATCTTCTGGTTAAATTTTACCATAAATGTCCCCCATCCCAAGTATCTTTTTAAAATAATTTTTCAGTATACAATATTAAGTGACTAACACATTTTATGTTGAGCTGCAAGCTGCTGTTTTAATAGTGTATTGAAAAGAAGGTGAGTTCCTAGTTATAAAGGAACTAATCTAAAGAAGTATATATTTAATTAATCTGTTTTGGGGATAGTTGCATTCACTGAATCCTTGAAATTATGTTTGTTTATACATGATACAACAAAAAAGGGGGTTTGCTAATCTAACAAAATGTACAAGTATAGTATGATGAATTACATTGTTTTTGTAACGTAAGCTCTACACCCAATGTGGGGCTTGAACTCATGACCCCAAGACCAAGAGTTGCATGCTCTACCAACTGAGCTAGCCGGCTGCCCCTACGATGAATTACATCTTAAACACAGGTACAAAACTAACCATCCCTATGTTTTCAATGGTAAATTCTATTGGTAACCAATAGTAAGATTAGAAGGGGAAAAAATCATAGCTAGAAGGTTTCCCAAGACATAGTGGTTAATTCTCGCTTAAAATCAAATGTTTCTAACTTTGTGATTAAATCTCTCAGAAACCATGAAAAACCAGGTCACCTTCATATAGTTTACAGGTGGATGGCACTGTGCTAGGTGCTGCGTGTACAACTCAAAGTAGCTAAACATGATGTGTATCTGAAATAAAGGAATATTAATGTCCCCTAACTTCACTTAGATCACATTTCCTCATCTTTTTGTATATCTCTCAATGTGAGGCTTCCCCTAGTCTAAATCCCAACAGGAATAAATACAGGAATAAATAGTATCTAACAGGGGCTTGCCAACTATGCTGTAAAGCACAAATATGTTTATTATAGTGAGACACCATGATTTTTTCATATTAAAGATTTTTAAAGAAGAAATTTTGTATTCTTTAAGTTACATACTTAACTTCATGCTTAGGAAAATAATTTGTCTAGGTATACATATTGCAAAGATTGGAGGAAAACAGTAATATTTCTATCAACCTATTTGTGGTGAACTATAAAATTCTTTTGCAGTTTAATATGGTTACCATATTTGTTACCCTTTCTGATGACTGTTAAGTATCAGTGACTCCACTCAATAAATTCAACAGTATCATACTGGTTAAGACTACACTATAAAAAAATGTTACTTCAAGTTCTTTATGGAAACAAGTTAAAAAGTAATTATACACAAAATAAATACACTAACCTAGCCATTTAAAGTGTCAGAAGTAAAAGTTTCCCAAATAAAAAATAAATTACAGGGGTGATGCTACCAAATTACCATAGTTTATTAGACAGAAGCAAAATTAATTGCTACGACATCAAATTTGTAATTCAATAAAAATCTCCATCCTAGAACTATATTATTTCTCACAAAAGGTATTTTTCAAGCAACCTATGGAGAGGACTCATTAAAGACTCATTATCTGGCTCACCAACTTCATCTTGCAATAATAAATAATGTATACTACAGAAGGGACAAGCCTAGAAAAAGATAATTACCATTATTGAAAAAGGAGTAATATTAACAGAAAAAGGGGAATGATAATGTTATTTGGTCACTACCATATTTCAACCTAATTAGTCTAAAAAATCAAAGACTACAGCAATTGCACAACAAGGCAACGCCTCCATACTCCCAGATTCAACAACCTCCCAAGAACAAACAGCATGTATTCAAGGAGGTTAAAAAAACAAAAAAACAAAAAACACCTCTGAACTCAGTCCCTCAAATCTCAAGACTCAACTCTAGAATTCATTTGCAAAGATGGTTTAACAGTCCAATCAGCTTTGAAAATAACAAAAGCCATTACTAATTAGCTTTTGCCAAGTATCAGAGATATAATGTTTAGTAAGAACAGTGATTGAATCACATTACTAGATTTAACATTACCATATGTCAATGTTTAACAAGTTCAAGCTTCTTAGAAGTCTAGAGCAAAGATCCTATTTCCTTTTTTGAAAACCAGGGGAGATACATGGAGTAAACTGGTAAACAAATCTGCACCATGGCCTTCACTGATCACTTAAGTAGTATTGAAAGACTGTGACTTTTGGGGCGCCTGGGTGGCGCAGTCGGTTAAGCGTCTGGCTTCAGCCAGGTCACGATCTCGCGGTCCGGGAGTCCGAGCCCCGCGTCAGGCTCTGGGCTGATGGCTCAGAGCCTGGAGCCTGGTCCGATTCTGTGTCTCCCTCTCTCTCTCTGCCCCTCCCCCGTTCATGCTCTGTCTCTCTCTGTCCCAAAAATAAATAAAGGTTGAAAAAAAAAAAAAAAAAGACTGTGACTTTTTAAATTCTCTAGAACAAAAACCCAATCAAGAAGGCCTTTCCTGCCAGTTTAGATCTTGGCCTTCCAAGGATGTAAAATTAACACTGCTGCCTTTTGGCACACAAAGAAACAACCAGACTATTTTTAAATGAGAAGGGAACTAGGAATGCACCTAGATTTACAATTAGACTTAAGTTTGAGTTGACAACTCAGAACCACACAAGTCTCAAGGGATGAAGGATGATGCATAGCCCAATTATTTCTCATGTAGAAGAAAGCCTCTGGCAAGAAGGGGCTTTTGCCAGGAAGTAGAACCTAGAAAAAGTGAACAACCAAGGAAAGCGAATGTATGGAGTAAGAGCTAGTATAGACAGTAAAATGGAAGAAGTGAGCTTCTGAGATAACCCAAAGTTGTAAGACATTGTCTAGGTAATCAATGATACGTAACATTCAAACACAGCACACACTACAATAATGCCCCCTTGTGGATACTCTTAGCCTGGAAAAATAACATTTAAATAACTTTTTCTTAACTTCCTCTTTTTGTCCTGAAAGGTGTTGCTTTAAACATGAATTGTCTTAAATATTAATTTCTCCCTTTCTATGGGGTGTCTATGGCTCAGCATCCCACTCCTGATTTCAGCTCAGGGCATCATCTCATGGTTCGTGAGATCAAGCCTGAGGTCGGGCTTCCCACTGTAAGCATGGGATTCTCTCTCTCCTCTCTCTCTGCCCCTCCCATCTCTCTAAAAATAAACAAACATCTAAAAATGTTTTCTCTCTTTCTATGGCCCCTTCTCCTGATAATGAAGTTTAAATATCTGCCACTAATTTCCCCTAAATGTTTCATTTCCTTTATTGTTTTCAATGTAGTTCAGAGCATCAGATAAGTTTTTTAAAAGAAATTAATATATAAAAATAAAATCCTGTAGCATTAATATACTTGAAGGAACCATTTGTTAAAATCAGTCTAACCTTGAAGAAATGACTTGGTACATGGGAAGCATTCATTCTATCTAAAAATCAGATTTACCAGTTTTAAGATAAATAAATATTATTGATATAACCTACAACATGACCTACAGTTAATACTATTATATGGTACATAGGAAAGTTGTTAAAAGAGTAGATTCTAAGAGTTCTCACCATAAGAAGAAATTTTTTTTTTCTTTTCTTCTTAGTATAGCTGTATGAGATGATGGATGTTAACTAAACCTATTGTGGTAATCATTTTACAATATATATAAATCACACCACTACAAATAAGTAAACTTATATAGTGACATATGTCAATTACTTCTCGATAAAACTGGCAAAAAATGAGATTTAAGGAATTGAAAAGTTACAAAGTATGAGGGAAATAAATGTAGTACTTATTTTTGACTAGCAAAGTCCTTTTGTTTCTTCCTAATAAAAGAAAATACAGATAATAAACTATCATACTAATCAATGTACTGTGTCCTACTGATACACTCAGGCTACAGACTAATTGACAGTATCTGTTTTCATCTCTCTATAAGATGGTCAAAACAGTAATTACACATACAAAAGAGATTCACTTCACTTTTTTTCAATCATCAATGTTTAAGAGCTCCACACTGGATAGAACATGTTTGAAAGTTGTATCTAAAATTAACTTTCTTTGGGGCGCCTGGGTGGCTCAGTTGGTTAAGTGTCCGACTTCGGCTCGGGTCATGATCTCGCAGTCTGTGAGTTCAAGCCCCGCGTCGGGCTCTG